CAAGTTCAAACCCCAGTACTGAAGAAGAGGAAGTGGAAGTATCAGCAGCAGCAGTGCAGGACCCAGAATGCACCTGCCCCACACCACACAGTTCACAGCCACAATCATTCTGTAAAACTTCATTTGGCATCACAATCCCTACACTCACGATTACTGATTTTTAATCATTTCTATTCAGGTATGTCCAATCAAACGGACTAAAGCATGGTAGATGCAGGAGCGAGGCCCCATGGTGGAACCCTTCGAACAATGAGCAGTTGAACAAAGTAAGTGTCAGGAAGCTGAATCATGTCATGTCTGAGGGAGTGCTGGCCAAGGGGAGGAGGGTGGAAAACCAGGAAAGGAGTGGCGGGCTAATGCAGTGGCCATCCTCAGCGTACATGCAGGAGAGGAACCACAGGGCTCATTCAATAACAAATTTCTTTGTACAACTATTTGAAGCTAGCCATTAAAAATCATGAATATATTGAAATTCAATACACTGAGAATTAAATGATCCAAGTCTGGAAAACATAAATACATACATAAAGCTATCTAGGTAGCTATGTTCCTCTCTTAACTGAAAACCAATTCCTTTTTTCGAAAAAGTGATAGGAAAGTTTACCAGGAAAAGAACATACTTTCAATAGGAAGTGGGTCATCTCTAGGGAGACAGTGACCAAAATTTCTCAAATTCTTAGTAGAAATATACCGCTCACTGAAAAACTATATGCATAAGCACTTATATGCATATTCACACATATACACCAAGAAGATAATATACAGAACCTCAAACAAACAAACAAACACAAAACTTGAGAAGTCAACCAAGGAGAATATATAGCTGCTTGAGAAACAATATAAAGTAAAAAAGCCAGTTTGGGAGGGTGGGGACTGGAACTTAAGCCTAAGCTTCATACTCTCACTCAGCCTTTTTTGGGGGATGGGGGAGTTGGAAGGACCAAGTAGGCTAATAACCTAAATGGCCATGACCTTTATTTGTCACCTAGTATTAGAGTCACATGGGCAGAATATGGGATTAACTTCCTCGGAATGCACAAAAGTTCAGTAACTATAAAAGATACACTGTAGATAGTGCTTTTCACAACCATGGTTAGAACAGAATGTCTATTTTGTGGGTCTGAAGCATGGCAGCTAGCACAGGGCATACTGGATGAGGAAGGGAGAAGGTCAGCAATACTCAGAGCTCCCCCCCACACCTCTTACCCACTCCACCCCACCCTCCCTCCACCACCACCCCCACCCCCCTAACCCCCCCTCCCCCCCCCCCCCCCCCCCCGCCACTCTCAGCAGGTACAGGACCCTGTCTGCAGCTCCAGCAGCGATCAACAACCCAGCCTTGGATGTTTCCTGAAAGCAACAGAAAATTGAGAAAGACATCCTCAGATCAGGTTAGATTGTTACTCTTAACTGCAAAAAGTGTATGAATTTGTCTTTTTATAAAGAAACAACAACAACAACAAAAAGATGTAACAATCACCTGTGAGTATCAGTCTATTCTCCTGTGCTGCAAAAGTCCCTCTGTTCCCTTCATTCACTCGGAACACACTGCCACTCCCTAGAGAGAAACGATCATTCTGCCTCTGCCCATAGAATTTCACAATATTCAGGTGAGAGAATAGATTTCTTTCGGCCATAGACATGTCAACCAACAATCCGTAATCTAAACACACACTGATAGAAAGTGACGAAAGTGAAATTTTTCACTCAGGAAAGAAGAATGGAAGGTCCAGAGAATATAGCATTCATAAAACCTTTTAGGGAAAGGGTGATGAGTCCTTCCTGAAAGTTCTTAATCAAATTCTGGTTCTTTTCTCTTTCAGAACTTCCTTTTTAATTTTGTCAGTCATGGGGCTTGAACTCTGGGCCTGGCACTGTCCCTCAGCTCTTCATCTCAAGGCTAGGTTCTGTAGTACTACCTGAGCCACAACACCACTTCCAGTTTTCTGAGTGGTTTATTGGAGATAAGAGTCTCACGGACTTTTCCTGCCCAGGCTGGCTTTGAACCATGATCTTCAGATCTCAGCTCCTGAGTAATTTTTATTTTTTATTGTAAAGGTGATGTACAGAGGGGTTACAGTTACATAAGTTAGGAAGTGAGCACAACTCTTGTTAAATAGTTACCTCCTTTCATCCCCTCATCTCTCTTCCCCTTCCTCTCTCCTCCCCTCAACCCTAAGTTATAAAGTTTATTTCCAACATTCACTCAGCTTTTTTCTATCACAGCTAGTTCTCTACTATTTGAGCTATGCCTCCAGTCCTGGCTTTTTGCTGGTTAGTTGGAGATAAAAGTCTCAAAGATTTTTCTGTTCTGGCTGGCTTCAAACCCTGATCCTCAGATCTCAGTAGAATTACAGGTACGAGCCACCAGCATCAAGTTTAAAAAGCTAGTATTTTAAAACTCAAAAACTTTCATAATAACACAAAGATCAATCTGTATTTTCTTCTCCTCCTTTAAAAGATTTATTTCAGGCTGGGAAGGTGGCTCAGTGGTAGAGCGCTTGCCTTGCATGCCTGAGGCCCTGGGTTCAATTCCTCAGCACCACATAAAAAAAAAAGAAAAAAGCCAGAAGTGAAGCTGTGGCTCAAGCGGTAGAGTGCTAGCCTTGAGCTGAAGGGCTGAGGGACAGCGCCCAGGCCCAGAGTTCAGGCCCCACAACCAGACCCCCCAAAAAAAGATTTATTTCCACACAACCACATGAAATTGATGTAATTGCCAATTAGAGCCCAGGCAATTATTTTGCCCATCAATTTATATTTTTAACAAGCACGACTGTTATTTTTAAAAGAAGCATTATGAAATGTCCTTTGAGTGGAGAATTATTTAACAGATATTATTTAACTGGGCTCTCCTGTGGTTTGAAATAAGCTGTGCCCTTGGTTAACCTCACACACTTGTCTGGCACAATCGTAGCTTTTATGAATAAGCTGGCATGGAAGGATCGGGAAGGATGAGTGGGTCACAAACCGGTCTTACCTCAGTCCCGAAAGAGCTCGTCACTCACGAAGGGAGGGTGTAGGACAAACGGCGGCTGTGTCCTGGAGACTTCCTCAGGTCCTTCCTCCGCCGAGGGCATGTTTCCTGTGAGCCTGCCCGTGCAGGCCCCAGCGGAGGGAGGCCGCATAGATGCGCGTGTAGCACACGCAGCACATGCAGCACACGTAGCACTGGATTTTTTTCCTTCAAATTAAAGCCTGGCTAAGATGGGCAGGAGTTTCAGGGGCCGCCCAAGGGCTCCAGAATGGCTTGGAGCTCATGAAAATGGTGTGGAAGTAGCTACCCCTGCCCCATGTACACAACCCACTGCGACCCACTGGGGCAGACCAACTAGGGACATGTTCCAGTCAAACAGCTGGAAGATTACAAAAAAACCAAAGTGCTAAAAACTGAGATGTCCAAGGTGCAAACCCAAGAGAGGGAACATAGTGCTTGGATGCAGGACCGAGGCAGTGGTCCACACAAGAGTAGGGAGACCGCAGTCTAATGGCACCTGCCAATGTTGGCATCAGAGAACCACCACCATCCAGGGCTTAGAAACCTCGATTTCACAGCCCCAAAACATCTCAGATGCCAGAACATTCTGAGATGGATGTCTGAAAGACAAACAGTGCCTTTCTACACATACAATGTCCTTGCCTCTTTACACATGCCTGCTGCTATGGTTTTGATGTGGCCTGTCCCCCAAAAGCAGGATACCAGTACTGGCAGAGAGTTAAGAGGCACAGCCCAAGGAGTGAGTTAGGGTCATTCTAGATATCAGTTATAAAAGCCTGGGCCTGCCCTACCCATCCTATACCCAGCTGGCATCCTGTATCCAGACGTGCCCACATGTGCTTCCCCCGAGAAGCTGAGAGCCCTTGCAGAGCAGAAAGTGACATGCCTGAGATTCCAAACCTGTGAACTAAATGAACTTCTAGGCAGCCTGCCTCAAGTATTTCATTATAGTGACAAAAACACTGACTGGCACACCTATGATAAAGTTTAATTTATAAACTAGGCACAGTAAGAGATTAACAACAATAATAGTAAAATTCAACAGTTGTAACAATATACTACAGGTATAGTAGTAAGTAGGTAAGTATGGTGTTCATCTCTGGAATTTTCCATTTAGTATTTTCAGACTCCAGTTGACTGTGGAAGAAATCAAAACTGCAGGTAAGAGAGGACTGCTAGGTTTATTACTGTCCAATGTTTCTAAACTTAAAGCACTACACCAAATGGTGCCAGCCTCGAGTGGTAGAGCACCAGCCTAGAAAGCACAGTAAGCTTAAGGCCCTGAGTGCATGCCTCAGTATTCAGCCCACCTCAAAAAAATGTTCTGAAGGCAAACTTTATTGGGAATAAAACTTTATCACTTAAAAGGAGTATCACAGGTAAGCTTAAGAAGTGACAAAAGGCAGTCACACACACTGACTCATGCCTGTAACCCCAGCTACTTGGCAGGTGAGAAGGGGGTTCCAAGTTCAAGGCCAGCCCTGGAAAAAAGTTCTTGAAAGCCCCTTCTCAACCAATAAAAAGCTGGGTATAGTGGCATGCGCTTGTCATCCCAGCCACATAGGGAACAAAAACAGGAGACTAACGATGCCAGATGGCTCAGAGAAAAAAAAATTACAATCCTACTTAAAAATAATGAAAGCAGGGGCTGGGAAGGTGGCTCAGTGGTAGAGCGCTTGCCTTGCATGCTGGATTGGGTTCAATTCCTCAGCACCACATAAGCAAAAAGAAAAAAGCCGGAAGTGACGCTGTGGCTCAAGTGGTAGAGCGCTAGCCTTGAGCTCAAGAGCTGAGGGACAGTGCCCAGACCCAGAGCTCAGGCCCCACTACCGGACCCAAAAATAAAAATTAAAAAAAAAAATAATGAAAGCAAAAAAGGCTAGAAGTGTGGCTCACATGTTAGGGCATACACCTAGCAAGCGAAAGGTCCTGAGCTCAACCCCAGTACCATAAAGAAAACAATATGTAAAGAGACCAAAAGAGCACCACACTCATCAGGAAGAAATTTACAAAGATTCTAACTGCTTTTATTACACCAGTGCAAGTTAGCATTTCATACAGCACTCACCAACATCAAACCATCATCTTCTATAAAATAGTTCAGACAGCTCAAACAAAAAACAAAGAGACACATTATCTATAATAATCTCATACAATACCATTTAGTGTTCAGATTTTTGTCACTCCAATAAAGTACAATTTCCTAGCAAACATGTGGCAAAAAGTTTGCTGTTTTATTTTGTTTGCCTATATACACATCAGAACATGCCTCACAAAGAAAACTCGATTACAGCACTCCATCACATCAACATCTACCCAGGCTTAGTGTCAGCCAGCTGTACCAATACCATAATATACAAAATGATAGGAAATATAAACATCCATTTGTACTTCAAGTTTATAACATTTTATTTACAAAAATAGGCTGGGAGGATGAGCGCTCCCACCCACATCTGCCCTGGGGTGAACTATTTTGTGCCTTTTTTTCCCCTAATGATTCATGAAGTGGTATTTGGACTCCTTCGACTTATTTGTGAATGAGAAGCTGGAGGGGGAGATGGGCAGGAGGTGGGCACAGCACAGCCGCACACAGACATGGCTTTACAGGAAGGCTGCGCTGACCCCATGCAATGGGCACCGTGCTCAGGGGGCACAGAGCCACACTCGTCTGGGCTCTGAAGGACACTTGTTCCCAGCACAACACTGCTGAATGACACTACGACATGACTCCAAAGACAGGGTTGTGGCGGCAGATGCTGGGGCCATATTCTTCATAGTCCCTCTTGGTGTGACAGACCTGGAAGAACTCCGGCTGGGGAGGCAGAGGCAGACAGAAACAGAAGCACTCAGAGGAAACATGAAAGCAACTGCGAGGGGGAGAGACTGTCCCCACCCAGACCCCGCCCTGTCCTCCACACCACCGGAATAGGGCATTGACCTCTCTGATGTACCAAACAGGAGTTTATTTCATTTTAAAAAAGAAATGTAAGCCAGGTGCTGGTGGCTCACGCCTGAAATCCTAGCTACTCAGGAGGCTGAGATCTGAAGATTGCAGTTTCTAGCCAGCCCAGGCAGGAAAGTCTGTGAGATTCAATTTTTTTTTTTTTTTTTGGTCAGTCATGGGGCTTGAACTCTGGGCTTGGGTGCTGTCCCTGTGCTCTTCAGCTCAAGGCGAGCGCTCTACCACTTGAGCCACAGCGCCACTTCCGGTTTTCTAGTGGTTTATTGGAGATAAGAGCCTCACGGACTTTCCTGCCCAGGCTGGCTTTGAAAGATATCCTCAGATCCCAGCCTCCTCCTGAGTAGCCAGGATTTCAGGCGTGAGCCACTGGTGCCCAGTTGCCCGGCTGCCCGTGAGATTCTTATCTCCAATTGATCACAGAAAAGGCTGGAAGTAGCATTGTGGCTCAAGTGGTAGAGCGCTACCTTGAGCTGAAGAGCTGAGGGGTAGCGCCCAGGCCCAGAGTTCAAGCCCCACGACCGACCAAAAAAGAAAAAAAAAAAAAAAAAACTTAAGAAATATTCTATGTGACTTATGAAACTATAACCCCTCTGTACATCACCTTTATAATGAGAATAGAAAAACATTTTTAAAAGAAATGTACTCAGACTGCATTTTAGGACCAAATATGCGCTGGTCCTAAATTAACAATAAATTAGCTATGCATTGATTTGAGTGGTAAAAGTGATAATTATTAGAGAAGTCTCTGGGATTAATGACTATTCAGGGTTCTTAAATTACTTTCGGATTTCACTTACCTATGGTTAGGGTTACACCTGATTAGCAAGGATACTTATGCAATTTAAGTGATTGTTAAGTGATTCTATGGGATGGAATTAAATGTGTGTCTGTTTAAAGCCACAGGAGCAGAACAAGCACTATTAACTTTCATGGACAATGTTTATCTAAACTTAACAGAGAATGCAAAAATAAAAACGGAATCATCTAGAAAGGGACTTACAGTTGAGGCAAGCATGGAACCTCCGAACCACACGGCATAGCGCTGCATATGATGTGTGATCACCTGAACCTCCACGGGCTTTGGCTGGAAAAGAGGGCAATTCTAGTCCAGCAATTAATCCCTTCTACCGACAGCCCTCATCGACAATACAAAGGCTTTCTTTCATGCCTCCCTCCCCTCCACCTTAAGAGTATAGGCCCTTCCTCGCCCTCAGTCAAGTTGCCCTGCAGTGGCACCAACCACTCTCCAGCGTTCTAGATGAGGGACAGAGCAAGCCTGGCCAGCAGAGGTCATTTATTTACTGTGAATACAACTCCAAGCCTCTAACCCAACCTCATGACCACAGGAATCTGACTGTGTAACACTAAAAGAACTGCCCTTTCCCACAGACAGTCAGTGGGCCTGTGTCATTCCCACTTCTCTTCCCAAAGCCAATCATGGTGAGAAGCCCTTCGACAATTCGTTGGAGGAACACACTGAATCTCCCCACTCCTGTGGGATATAACAGTTTGGTCTCATGGCACCTGGTCACAGCATGCCTTGTCTCTTACAACCCAGAAGATGACAGGAACATGCACTGGGACAGCATGACACCGGCGCTGCAGCACAGGGGTGGTCGAGAACAAGCTAGGAGCAGACCTTAGCAGTGAACACCATGGTTACTGGATGCTGCCTCCTGAGAGCTGACCCAGGCCGGGTCCCAACCTCCTACCTTGATCCTGCCGCCACTGAGCTCCTCACTCAGCTTCAGCCTGGCATCCACCACTCTCTTTAGATCTCTCTGCAGTCGACGTCCAAAATCCCTGAACATTGTTGAGCCTCCCGAAAGAACGACATTCTACAAAACAGAAGTGGAGGGTAGCCTTGGCCCAAGGTGGTCTCACAACAGAATTCTCATATCCAGCCATTCAGCCACTGTGTGATTGACTGAAGTAGCTAATGGAATAGAAAAGTGCAGGCTCTGTCATTTTTCTTCAGTGATCACGGAGTGAAAACCAAAACCACTGGCCCCACCACTCCCCTGGGCTGGGCAGCACCCTTACAAAGTTGATCAAAAGCCTAAACACACTGAGCAAGCTGCAACAGACAGACCAAACTAGCATGAACCTTCAACATGTTTTGCCTTAATAATTACCAGAATAAAGCCTTTACCCCAAATGCCTGGAGAAATATTTTCAGACAAGCCACGCCTCTGCCTGTCTCACCTAGAACATTTCTGCCATGTGGCCACCCAAATGACATTAAATCACCCACTAGATGCTGAGGAATGCTGCATTCTTGCAGGCTACTGGAGCCATTTAAAACAATGAAAATCTGCAACCGCTGGTAGCTCACACCAGTAATCCTACTCAGGAGGCTGAGAGTTGAGAATCGAGGTTCAACGCCAGGCCAGGCAGGAAAGTTCATGAGACTCTTATCTCCAATAAACGACCAGAAAACCAGAAGTGGCACTGTGGCTCAAAGTGGTAGAGCGCTAGCCTTGAGCTGAAGAGCTGAGGGACAGCGCCCAGGCCCAGAGTTCAAGCCCCACGACCAACCAAAAAAAAAAAGACATCATTCTCATTTAACTTTCTAACAGCAAAAGCCATCTGAGAAAAACAATGTAAAAATCATTCTCCAAGGAGCTGAGGAGCCTCCTCTGCAGTCCTCAAGCCCTGAACATGCCTGCCTTTCCAGAAGTCTTGAGGGTCTGCAGCCCTGCGTGCAGCCTTCACCCTCCCAGGCAGCAAGCCCCCACCAGTCTATGGGGAAGGAGGGATCACAAGGGAGCAGAGAGAATACTTGGCTCCCCTGGGAGCATAAGCTATAGATCCAGGATTTGGGGAAAGGCCCAGCCTGTGCACTGCTGCCCTCGGGAAAGACACACTGGGCTGGACACAAGGACCCTCTCCAAGGGCTCCTCCAACAGCTGTGCAGGCCCCAGCCCCAGATGCAGGACTAAGCAGGAGTAGCAAGGAAGGAGTAGGGCCATCAGAAGCCACCAGAGATCTGAGAACCCTACAACAAGCCTTGCCTGCTCCAGTCACTGAGCTGAAGGGGACTGTCACGGGCTAAAGCTCGCAAGAGTCCGGTGCCAGGGGAAACAACCACTAACAAGTGGTTAGCAGTGGTCTCATACAATTTTTTCCCTTAAAGGAGACCTGAGCTTGGCCTTCAGGAGGGGCTGGTTCTGAGACGAACCTTCCTGGCCTCTATGGCAGGGAGGATTCTGGAAGCTGGAACCTGACTGGTCCCTTGGAGTTTCCCTCAGCTAGTCCAAGAAGCCATGATGGACAGGACTAGCCCTCTAAGCGGATCCTCCCACCCAGCGCCTACCTGGCAACAGATAGCTTCAAAGCACCTGCTGATGGCTCTCCACTACTAGAAGTGCCTGTCAGTCCTCCTTCATACACTCTCCTAGTCCTTAAAGCTCAAAATGCAGGTGCGTGAGAGAATATAGGCTGCTGCCAATCTCTTTCCTAGAAACGGGGTCAGAGGCCCATGTTACCCAGACACCATGGGCCTCTGAGCATCTGCTTCTACTGATGGACTAAATGTAAGTCTAGGTCCTCCACGCCCGTATCCTGTCTCCAGATCGACACGATGAATGACCACTGCTGTTCTCTGTCACCATGTGGGAAAATGATTTAGAAACCACATGAAATTGCCAGAGCCCAGGGAGGCCAAGGGACCATCAGGCAGACACTCAATTCAGGGGTGGCCTTACTACCGATGTCACCCAACAGTGAGGGTGGCTGGGACAAGACCCTGCCCTGACAATCTCATGGCTACATTAGTATCAAACTGTAAACCACTGTTGCTGTTCCAACCTTGTCATTTCATCTACTAATATGCCTTTTTTTTTTCCCTCTGCAGTCCATCATCCAGTCAGGTTTTACAATTACTTGTCACGTCTCGGCAATGGGAACGTGGCTTTGTGGTAGAGTGCTTGCTTAGCATGCATGAGGCCCTGGGTTCAATTCCTCAGTACCACAAAAACAAAAATAAAATAAAATAACCTAAAAACTTGAAAAGGACATTTAAATAAAGAAGTTATACATTTTAAAATAATAACTCACTGTCATATGAAAATAAATACCCATTGGTACACTTCCAAAGCAAGGCAGGATCTTGAGCTACCTTCAAAGGTAAGACACATGAGACTCATGTTCCTAGTGTATTCTCACATTCATAAAGGCAATACCACATACATGCAGTCAAATAACTTCAGACTAAATCGCCAAGGGGCTTCACTAGGGAAAGACAGTCTTCCAGCAAATGATGCTAGAATAATAGGTATCCAGGGGAGACAAATGAACCTTCCACTTATTACTTTCTTTCACATACACAAATTAATTTTAAATACTGTACAGAGGGGTCACAATTACATGGGCAAGGCAACAAGTGCATTTCCTATCAAGCATTGTTGCCTCCTCCTTTTTTCCCCTTCCCATCCCTTCTCATCTCCTCCCCTCATCACCTTCCCACCCCACTTTGTTGTTGCCAAAACACTTTTTTTTAATCATCAGAAACTAGAAACAAAAAAAAAAAAAAAATGGCATCAGCAAGAAAACAGATAATCTGTGCAATGTCCATACTCTGAAATGGTACTCCCTCAATGAAAGGAAGTGAACTCTGACAGGCAACTCAATGCACTAGCTGGGTAAAAGAAGCCAGAAACCAAGGGTTCACATTGTCTGATCCCATCTATACAAAACATGAAGCTGAATCCCATCTCCAGAGGCAGGAATCAGACCGATACTCTCCAGTGCTGGGGGAAGGAGGGCACTGGCAGGAGGGGGCTGCCGGCAGTGGTGAGATGGGTAATACATTTCAACATCCAACACAGCCTTCTGTAGAAGGCTGAGGCCATGTCCTACACCCTAATCCTATGTTGTCTGTCAACTCTCTAAACTGTTCACATAGGCTGACTGAATGATATGCTTAAATTGTATCTCAAAGATGAACTTTGAACAATGAATGACCTTATAAAAGAGGTAACAACTGTGCTGAGGGTCGGTGACAAGAAGGAAGCCCTCCCTCATGAGGGCTTACGCATTGTCAACTGTCCATGATCTCTAACGTCATTTTCTTAATACACTGCACCTCTATGTGGAAGCAAGATCAAAACAAACACCCTGATTTGTGTCACATATTTAACCTCTAAGAGTTGCTATGGCTTTGTGTGCCCAAATGTCAGTATCAACAGATCAAGGAGCGTTGCTGGAAGAAGCAGCCTTCACATGAATGTTCTTATCCTTATCCTGTATTAACTCTCCAGCCTGGTTCTCTGTCATCCCACCTTCCTTCTAGCTCTGCCCATGAGTGAATCTCCTCTTCCACACTGGAGGAAGGTGAGGGTGTCAGTGCACTGGGCAGGTCACTGCTCTATCCAGGGCTTCTCAACCCTGGTCCCTGGGGCAGGGCCTCTAGCTGCTGTCCATGCAGTACACATAGTGGGCCCTGGGGCCTGGAAGAGCACAAAGCTGGCTGGGTCCTCTGCACATCAGAAGTAGGCAGGAGAAACATATAAATATTTACTGATCATAATGCATACTGCACCAAGTCAGGCTGGAAGAAATTGCTTTGCCTGACAGAAATATGAAGTAAGAGCAAAGAAACAAGTAGAAGACAACTTTAAAAAGATTAAGGAACACTGACTCAGCCAGGTGACAGTGGCTCAGGCCTGTTATCCTAGCTGCTCAGAAGGCAGAGATCTGGAGGATGGTAATTCTAAACCAATCTAGACAGAAAAGGTCATTCAACTCGATCTCTAAAATTACCAGCAAAAAGCATGGCTGGAGGCATAGCTTAAGTGGCAGACCACCAGCCTAAATAGCACAAAGCTCTGAATTCAAACACCAGTAGGGAAGAAGGAGAGAAGGGAAAAGGGAGAAAGGTAAGGAGTGAGGCCTAAAGTCCTGCTCCTGACAACATAACGCAGTCCTCCACAGGTGGATCTCGGCCTGTGCCTGATTCCACTGGTGCCAAGCAGACAAGTCCAAAAGTGGCTGACATCCTCCATCACTCAGGACTTCTAGACCTGAAGCAAGTGGTAGGTATTTCTTTCTTCTCTGGGCTTCAATAACCTCCACTGTACAGTTACATTACTAGAGAACTTGTGAAGAAACTCTACAAGGTGCTGCCGAGTCAGCCCTGGTCCAGGGTCCCATTCTACAACATGAACCAGCAGGCCCAATGTCAGAGCCCTCCTGAGTTCCCATTTCACCTCATCATCCACCCACAGAAGGGCTGAGCACCCACTATCACCCTTCCTGTGCCCCACCACTGTACACAGAGTACAGTGAGCTGGGCCTCCAAGCATCTGTAGGTGAATGAAGGACATCACCTCTACTCTCTAAGTACGTGGGAGCACACCACCATCCACCATCAAATGCTCCAAGGCAGCCAAAGGCTCCCTGCTGAATCTCAAGTCAGACAATGCTATTTCTTTCCCATTTCTCCCAGGACATCTTCTCAAGACCTCTCCCTGTTCTGGCAATGCCCTATGAACAGACTTCAAAACCGCACTGTGAGCCTCTCCCTGTGTGACCCTGCCCCATGAGACAGCCCTACCACTCTGCTCCTGGAAGCCAGTCTAGGTAAAACAACTTCCCACCTCCTAACAGAGCAAAGCACAGTCTGCCTTTAAACACCTGTATACCCAAAACAAGTTGCAAAGGGAGTATCCGTACTTGTTAAAAGTCTTTGAAGGAACAGGACAATTATTGGGGGGGAGGGGGGTCTTGCTATACGTAGTCCAGGCTGGCCTTTAAACTTACTATGGAGTCCAGGCTGGCTTCAAACTTGTGGTCCTCCCGCGTCTGCCTCCCAAGTTCTGGGATTACGGGCGTGCAC